TGTACCTTGGTGTATGCTTTTCGCTGATGATATCCTTCTCGTGAATAAGACTAGAGAGAAAGCTCAAGAAAACTTGAATTATCAAGGCCTACATTGGAGTCTAAAGGCTTTCGTTTGAGTAGAACTAAAGCTAAATACATGGAATGTAATTTTAGTAGTAACAACTCTAGTGACAGAGTTGTAACTATGGGTGGTCAAATTATTAAAAGGAGCAAACGTTTTAGATATCTCAGGTATATTGTTCTGAGTGATGGTGACATAGATGGGCATGTTATTAATAGAATTCAAGTTGGTTGGTTGAGGTGGAGGAATGCTTCGGGCCTATTGGGTGATAGAAAAGTACCGCTCATATTGAAAAGAAAATTTTATAAGATGGTGGTGAGACCTGCAATGCTCTATGGCGCAGAATGTTGGCCTTTAAAAGAGAAGCATAAAACAAAGTTGAGAGTTGCTAAGATGAGAATGCTTAGGTGGATGACTGGCTTGACACTTGGAAACAAAATGTGAAATGAATATATTCGTTTATAATCTGTGATAGGGTTGGTGTAGCTCCAGTGACGGACAAAATTAGAGAGAGTCCTCTTAGATGGTTTGGTTGCATTCAATGTCGACCATCTGATGATCCTATTAGGAGAGTATATGTTTTAGACTATACTTATGTTAAGAAAGGCAGAAGTAGACCTAAAAAGACCTGGGCAAATTGTATAAAAAAGGATCTTAATCTTTGAGAATTAAATAAAAATAAGACGCAATAGAGAAAAAAAATTCATGTAACCGACCCCACTTAGTGAAATAAAGGTTTGTTGTTGTTGTCGTCGTCTTAGAATAACAATAGATTTTAGATTCATTTTTTTAGCATTAAACCCAAATGATTCTTCAATGTCAATGTAATTTTTTGTTTATGCTTTGAATAAATTTATTGTATAATTCGTAAATTTGATTCACTTCAAATCACCAAAACCAAGAACATCTTTTTGATCAATCAATGTTGTTACCATAATGCTTCTTTTTAATCATTTAACATCCTATTGATATTCAAAATCATTATTGAAAAAAAATTTAATATCCAAATCTCAATAATCCTCTCCTTCAAAACGTCAGTTTTATGCATCCACTTCAGCGCCTAAACCACTTCACTTTATTTATTCAAGTACCACTAATAATGATCTAATTAAATCTAACCATATCCAATATAAGCACAAAAAAAAAAAAAAAAAAAAAAAAAAAAAAAAAAAAAAAAAAAAACTTCATGGCCCTTGTATGATCCTTAAAAT